GGGAGTGGTAGTGGGAGCAGGAGTGGCAAGAGCAGGTGTGGGAGTGGGTGTGAGAATGGTGGTTGGAGAACCACAACTGCCATGCAGGAACCAACTCGTTGCACCTCCCAAAGTAAGGAAAAGTATTTATAATCACATGTCAACAGCGCAGCCCCAACGTTACCATTCAATCAAATGATTTGCGGTGATTTACTTTCTGCATCGTCAATTAACAAGGATTTGTTAGGACGTCAGATCATTTAATTTTATCTTCCTGTGCACGCCACGATGTTTGCAGACAAGGGACCTTATGGGAAGAGGGGGAGCTCATCAGCCGCAGCCTTCAAATCCAGGTGCTAGCAACGGTACTACAACTGCTTCTGCGATTGCTCGCACTCTCCTCGACAGTGGCAGCTCTGCAGCTGCTACAACCGCAACTGCTGGCGCTCCCCTCGCCAGCACCAGTTCAGGCAACACTCCCACCGTCAGTACCTCCGCCATTGATTCATCCGCTGACAGCACCAGCTCGAGCCTCACTACTGAGGCCCCTAGTATACATCAATCCCACCTAAGCAGCAAAAACGAGCCCGGCACAAGTTGCGATGCACCAGCCCAAGCGAGCCCCATCCTGCTCACCCCCACAACCAACCCAAGCACGCCCTTTTGCCCCAACTTGAACATACCACCAAATGAGGCCCAGGTAATTCCCACCCTTCATTCGCACAACAACACCAGCAACAGCCCCAGAGCCCTCCAATCCTCCCTCAACTCACTCACTCCAATATCACCAACAGCCCCAGAGCCCTCCAACAACATCACCAACCCAAGAATCATCCCCAAGGGTCCCAATAACCTCAACAGCCCCAACAGCTCCACTAGTCCCAGAGTTGCCTCCCCTAAGAGTCCCTACAGCAATGGCATCCTGGTTGGAGACGGTGCCAGCAAAGCTGTTGGGTTTGATGCGAGCAGGACTCCTTTTTCACTGGGGAATGACAGCGACAGTGCTCCGTTTCCAGCAGGGCCTGCCGCTGCCGCTGCTGCTGCTGGTGCGGCAACTTCACATGGTGGACCTGGGGTGGAGCTGGATCCCCTTATAGACTGCCTGTTGAGCCAGGTGGGGAAGGTGTGGGTGATCTGAATGCCTGACAAGCCAGGTTTGGATGGTGTGGATGCCTATTAAGCCAGACATGGATGGTGAGGAAGGCGTGGTTGGTGCAGGGAACGCAGATGTATGACACGCTGTGTGGGGATGGTGTGTGTCTATTGGGCCAGGCATGTTGGATGCGGGAAATGCAGATGCCTGACAAGCCAGGCGTGGATGGTGAAGAGGGTGTAGATGCCTGTTAAGCCAGGTGTGGCTCGTGCAGAAAATGCAGATGCCTGTTGAGCCAGGTGGGGATGGTGTGTATGCCTGTTGAGCCAGGCGCGGATAGTGTGGACGGTGTAAATGCCTGTTGAGCCAAGTATGGTTGGTGCGGCTGCTCGTGCTGATGGATCTGGGGCAGAGCTGGATCCCCTCATAAGACTGCCTGTCGAGCCAGGTGAGGATGGTGGGGTGCCTGGTAAGCCAGATGTGGACAGTGAAAAAGGTGTGGAGGCCTGTTCAGCCAAGTTGGGCTGGTGCAGAAAACGCAGATGCCTGATGAGCCAGGTGGGGATGGTGTAGATGCCCTCTGATCCAGGGGTTGCTGGTGCAGAAAATGCAGACGCCTGACGAGCCAGGTGGGGAAGGTATGGAGGGTGCAGATTCCTGTCCTTCCAGGCGTGGATACATGCTGAGCCAGGAGAGGATGGTGATACAGGTGTGGATGCAAGTTAAGCCGGGTGTGTGGTGCGCGGAGCTGAAAATGTCAAGGGCCGGATTAGAAGGGGGTTTGCCTGTCTTGAATGTCAGCTGGGCCAGGTCCGTGCTGTGCTGGACAAGCGGCCCATTTCTGAGGTGTTCGCCCTGAGATGTTTGATGTGTCGCGCTTTGCCCTTTGACATTTGACATGTTGTGCTTTGCCCTGAGATGCTTGGTGCCTTGTGCTTTGCCCTTCGACGTTTGTCATGTTTTGCCTTGCCCTGGGATGTTTGACGTGTTGTGCTTTGCCCTTAGGTGTTCGACGTGCCATGTCCTGCTTTGGGCAAGACACCCCTCTCCTGAAATGTTTGCCCCCTGGTTTTGTGGTGCATTAGGAAGCATAGCGTTAGGAAGTTCCTCTCCTGATTTGTTGATAAGCATCTTTGTAGGTATGGCGCAGCCTGTGGGAATAACTATTGGATGACAAATTGCCACCAAGGATGAGTGTTGCTTGTGCTTTGCGAGAGGGGTGTTGCGTGAACTTGCCATTGAGCAATGGGCACCATCCTTGGTTTGAATGAGTTTGGATTGCACTTGCTTGGGACGCGTGCTGCCATGAATGCGACTTGTTTGCACTTGTCGTGACCCCGATGCAGCGCAAGCACAGGCTTGTTGCAGTATGGAAAGAAGTTCGCAAGGTTCAATCCATCCTCTCACGGGGGAATCGGCTGCTTCTACGCTTATGAAAATGACATTTTTCCCTCGAAAATGGCTGACCTCCACGTAGAGGGTTTGCACGCTTCTATACCAGTACTAAGCAGAAATCTGATGCTAATGTTGACGAAGCAACGCGGGAGCCACTAGCATGCTTCTGGTAACCCTCGACCCTGTTTTTAAAACCTAATCCCATTAACCCTGTTCCTTTTTGCAGGTTG